AAGTGAAACAGTATTTCCTAGACATGATAGGACCCCTGCACTCATGAACTCATAGCAGCTGTGGCTGCCTGCACAAGGTCAAACCAGTCAGCATGCTAGCATGGAGCGGGGTCTGGGGGCGGGGGGAGCATAGGCACCATCCCCAGCTGACGAGCTTTTGGAAGCTTCTTGGGGAAGGAGAGTCAATTTCATTTTAAAATCAAGGTGGACGGTTCCTGAGGAGGAGTGACACCTGATGGTGACTTCAAGCCTCCATAGGCGATACTCTTAACAGGTGTTCACACACGGACATGTAGGCACAGACACAAAGTTAAGTAAATTCAAAACTCTTCGGTTGCACAGGCCACATATTAAGTGTTTAGTGGCTCTATATGGCCATGGGTGACATCATGGATAGCATCAGTTTGTATACTGTCAGCTTTCAGGTAGCCTTTCACTTCTTGTTTGAAGACAGCATGAATGTTTACTGTCTTTTTTATATAGGAGCAAATATGCCATTGCCCAGAAAGTGGGAGCATGGCTTTCTGAGGCAGTGTTGTATATTACTCAAGCTGCTGGCAGCTCTCTGTCATGATTGAAATGTGTGCACAGTTTCCAAGTGTGAATCAGAATGAGAACATTTTGAAATATTTAAGAAAAAAAGACAAAACCAATCACCTGGGCTGGTACATTATGGGGCCAGGCTTAAATATAGAACCTTCTTGACCAGCTCTGGGTTACTTACAGCCCTCCAGTCCTGGCTGGGTGAGTCACTCTGCCTCCCTTTCTTCATTAAGGGTAGAATCCCTGCTCTGCCTGCTTCGTGTGGTTGGGTGACAATATTTGTATGTGTGTTTGTTTTCTTGTTTATAGAAAAGAGTCTCTGGTCACCCAGGCTGCCACTGAACTCCCTATGCACTTCTGACCTCCTGTCTCCATCTCTGCAGTGCTTAGATTACAGACATGTACCATCACACAGGTTGATACAGTGCTAGTTCATGCAACATGGGCACTCCTCTGACAGACCTGCATCCCCAGCCTGGGGTTGGGTGAGATTTAGAAGCAGGGGATGTATGAGTTAGGGCAGTGAAGCCTCAGTACCTAAAGCTGTGTGTGAGTCACCAAAGGCCGAAGAAACAAGAGTCAATTTCTGTGACAGTGTCAGGGTCCTGGCTGGAGGCAATGTTTCAGATTCTGGGGAAGCTGTTTTCCCACTGCTGTGGGGGCTGGGCAATCTTGACACAATACCAAACAATGTTCTTTTATTGATTTGGTCAGTCCTGTGTCACACTTGCCACTGGCCAGGCACTGTTGAAGGCAAATGCTTCACAAATGCTTCCAGTACCCCAAGGATTCACTGTTGGTGTACCCCTTTCCCAGGGAGAAAAATCAAGCTTCAAAGGTCAAGTACCTTGTCCAAGGTCACACAGTGGGTGATGGTGACTGTCTCTCTGACTGGCACAGCCTGCATTTCCTTGTGGTGTCCTTTCTCTTCCTTTGTTCCTTCTGTCCCGATCCTGTGTGGCCGTGGAGTTGATTTTGGTAGATCTCTTCTCTCAGAGGTTGAGATTTAGGTTTTGATATGAAGGCCGGTGATTGCCATTTCAAACTCAGTAGCTTTGATTCTGGGATCCTGTCTCAGTTTAGTAGTGTGGAAGGTGGAGATGGGCTGGAAAGGCGGGCCAACCTTGACACGTCAGTGACTTGCCTCTAGCTAGCTGTATGCCCTCAGGTTGGTTACTTCTCTAACTTCAGATGGCATTTTGTGAGGGCTGAATAAGTCACCTTAGTGACAGGGCCCAGTATCCCATCAGAGAGCTTGTCCATGCTTCATTCATTTTTAACTCTACCTTTGTCTTGAGCAGTGAGTGAGCTAAGGCTTATGGGTTCAGAGTGACCCAATCTCCTGTCTGCCTTCAAGGTCTTCCTACAGTGGCCTCCTGAAGCTGCAGAACTCAGGCCTAGAATTGGGGAATGGAAGTTGTAAGCTGTGTTGGCTTAGTCCTGTGTTGGAGATTTTAGATAAATATGTTTGCTCATTTGCTCTACATTTGTTGGTTCTAAATGACTGCACTCCTAGGACCTGTCTGTCTTGTCACTTCTGACTTGTCATATGTGGGTCAGGACAAGTCAGTGCTTGACGGGCCAGGGCCTTAGCAGGTGTATACAGGGTGTGCCAACCTTACTTCAGGCCCATGTCAACACGTCCTATAGCTTACTCCCTCGGTCTCCATGTGGCTGCTGGGCTCTGTGACAAGCAGGGTTGGTGTGGACCACATACTTCCTTCATCTTTTCAGCATTTGAAGAAGACAAAGTTTGGGGGGCTGTAAACAAATCAGAGGGAACTCCTTGCTGTGTGTGTCCTTGACTTGGGGTGTGGGGACTATGGTCATTGATAATCCTTTGGGCTGAAAGTTACCCTTATTTATAATGGGGCAGGCCATGCTGCTGGAGCTGTGCCATGGCCAAGACTGCCTTGGGTGCTGTGCAGGGTGCTCAGATAGCTTGGAATGAGATCCGGGTGCTGTAGCTGAGACATGAGAGGGAGGAGCCACCTTAGATACTCTGGAATCTCAGCTCCCAGGAGAAGTGGCATGTGTGCAACCCATGACAACGTGTCCTGTGCAGTCTTCTGCTTCCTCAAGCTAGTGCCCCAGAGTGGGCAGCAGCTTCATTGTCTTTGGTTTGAGACCCTTACACAGTGAGTTAATATCCGGGAATCCCAGTGAGTTGCATTTCACAAGCCTCCCAAAGCAGGGCCCAGGGAGGCATCTTGTCTAAGTAAAAGGACCTTTGCTGCCAAGTAAAAACTCCAGCCAGCCAGTATTATTATTCTTAGGGTTCCATGGTTTTATTTCCCCTTCCTCTCATCACTGGTGTGCATAGTTCCTTCCAGATTTTGGGGTAATTGGGAACCTGTTGAAACCCTCTCAGGAACATAACAGGCTTCTGCAACAGTTATTGGTCAACTTTGATAACTGTTGACTTTCTCAGTGTGCAGGGTTTCCAGGCAAAGACTGTTTAAGAACATGGCCCACACAATTCCTACCCTTAAGGAGAGCAGTTACAGAGCTACAAAGGGGGACTAGCCATCCTTCTTGTGGCCCTTGGACTCTTGAATTCGGTGTCAGTAGGCCCATTGCCTACACAAAGCCATCAGCACCTCCATGCCTTCCTGAAGAGTTGCATTGTCATGGTGCTGGTTGTGTTGTCCCTCCCTGTCCGCCAATGCTGCAGCCAAGGCTGTGGGACTTCCCTTGCCAACCTGCAGGCTAACTCTTGTGCACTCATGGATGGAATCTTACTTTTCTTTCTTAGTTAGGATCTGGGACTTATCTGAGTTAACTTGACCAGAAGTAACAGTTAAAAACAAACAAACAAAAACAAAGGCACTCCCTAAGTGAAATCTACTCAACTGTTTAAGAGAAAGTGCCTTTGGCTGTTTACAGCAATATTCCAGTCTGCTCTAGTGGCTGCAATAATGGGTCCAAAAGAGAAGAGCATGGAGGGAACTAGCTAGCCCTGAGGCTAGTTCCTGAGGCTAGAATGGGTGCTCTACCATTCTGTTGGGCATGTCAGCTGATCTCATTTTATCCCTCCCAGTCCTGTGAGGTTGGTCCTTTAGCACCTGAGAACACTGCGCTCACAGTGTTTGAAGTCGTACAACTTGGAACCTGTGTTAGTTCATGAACCCCAGAATGAAAGCTCATTGAAAAGCCATTGGCTCCCACCAGAGCTACAAATCGTCTTGTGTTTTGCTACAAGGAACTGAACATTGACCCCAAAGAGCTTAAGGCATGCACACATGCTAAGCAAGTGTTCTACGTCTGAGTTACATTCCCAGCACTCTTTACTTAAGACAAATGTTTATTCTCTCTCTCTCTCTCTCTCTCTCTCTCTCTCTCTCTCTCTCGTGTGTGTGTGTGTGTGTGTGTGTGTGTGTGTGTGTGTGTGTGTGTGTGTGTGTGTGTAGCATACTTGGTGGAAGTCCAAGGACAATTTGTGGAAGTTGGCTCTCCTTTTATCATGTGGGTCTTAGGGATTGAATTCCAGGTTGTCATACTTGGTGGCAGATACCTTTACCTGCTGATCCATCTTGCTGACACTTTTTATAATTTTTTACTTTTTATTTTGAGGTGGGGGTCTAATTAAATTATTCAGGTTGACCTTAACAAACTCTGTAGCCCAGGAATGCTTTTGATTTCAGATTCTTTTGCTTTAGCCTTCTGAGTTGCTGAAATTACAAGTCTGCACACTAGCCCTGCTCAGGAACAAGATTATAAGACTCAACCTGACTGAATTAGTTGGATCTAGAAATGCACATAGCCCAAGGAAGATCATCTGGTAAAGGAGAACAAGAATTGGCTTAAAAGCATGGAAAGAGACCTGGGGTGGGAGAGATGGGACAGTCCCACGGCTGTCATCTTATCATTGCCCAGTACCTCAGTGACTGGAGCTTATAGGCTCAATATGTATTTATTGAATGAACAGGCACAGGAATTGTTAGTCATCTTTACCATAGAGTGGGAATCTCTGGAAGGCAGGGCCTGGGCCTTGGCGATTTGGGGTGCTTGACATGTTACAATGGCTGTTATACAACAAACAGTAAATATATCCTGATGGACTGCATAACACATGGCAGGTAGGAAAGGGAGGGCAAGATGTGCCTGAGTGAAGAAACAGTCACGACTTGAGAAATACTGAACAACACGTAGTGACTGATGGAACAGGGGGTGGAAGGAAAAGGAGCTTTTACATTTCACTTAAGGCATTCACAAAGGCTATTCTTCTGTTACGGTTTAGTGTGTATCTCAGTCATAGCATGCTGGCCCATGTTCTAAGTCCTGGGTCCATGCCTAACACACACACACACACACACACACACACACACACGAGACAGGAGAGCTTCGGTGGCAATAGAGGCTCTTGCAGTGTCATTGATTTTAGGATCATTTAGCTAGAGAGTCTAGCCAACATCCTTTCGTTACATGTTTTCAGTAGAGGCTGCCTGTCATTTCAGGTGTTGGCTCAGAGGGGGCTTTTAAGAGAACCCAGAAGCAGCGTTGGGAGAAGCCTTTTCTGTGAGTAGCCAGAGACGTCTGGTCCTGAAGACACAGCTCAATCCTCACCTGGACTTATGACCCGAGGCCTTGCTCCCCTCCTGCCCATTGAGTTCCACAAGATGGGCTCCTTCCGCCGTCCTAGACCACGATTTATGAGCTCCCCTGTGCTCAGCGAGCTGCCCCGCTTCCAGGCTGCACGGCAGGCTCTGCAGCTGAGTTCCAACTCTGCCTGGAACAGGTAAGGGCCTGAGGGTCCAGCACCATCAGGGAGGGCTTTGGGGTAATCTGGGGGTGAGCCGAACATCTGCTGCCTCAGAGAGCATTACTCATGAAGTCTGATCATGGTGCAGATGATAAATGGGGCAAGTTCCCCTGTTTTCATAGAGAAGGTAGCTCACTGGGAGTTCTAGCCTATCAGGGTGCATTTTGCCAGCCTGGGATCATTGACTTAGAATTTATAGTTCCAGTTTATGCCGCTTAACACCCTACACTGGGTGAGTATCTAAGGGTGGGGTCTTTCAGATGACCTTATATCACCTGTTTCCCCTTTAGGAAGCTTAGGTGTGTTTCTGTGCAAAGCTCAATGAATGGTGTACGTCACATTCTCTTTCTCCTCATCCACTGGTGCTTGGGAGAGGAGATGTAGCTTTGGGAGGTGTCCAGCAGAGCTTGTGGACCATGCCCGGAGCAGATCAGCCCATCAGTACTGCCTTGGAAGTCAGTGGGCCAAAGGTTTCCAAAGCTGTGTTGGCCTCTGGATAAATGAGTATTACTGAATTCTCTGTGCTTTTTCAGTGACAGGCCATCAGGCACACTCAGCTGATGCAGTTCAGCAGGGCTGCCTGGAATGTTCTGGCATTCTGAGGATCACTGTCCTTTGTAAAATTCCTCAGCACAGACAAGATTATAATCAGCTCTTCTGCTGCTGCTGCTGTGGTCCTTTAAGAGCCCAATTTTATGACAGTATACTTCCCTCCCTGGGGTGAAACAAAGGGACAAGGAAAGCCCATGGAAAATTCTATCTTAAAGGCGATAGTTTCAGTCTCTGTCTGAGAAGATGGTGACTTCCCAGTAGTAAGCAGTCAGGGTCAACTCCTGCTGGCAATGAATGCTATCTGGATGCTTGCAGGGCCACAGTGCTGGCAGTTCTCAGAGAGCTGATCTATTGCCTACCTCCATGTGAGCAAGGGGAAGAAGCCCCTGTGACCTGCAAGTGTCCTGGAACTCCCTTTGGATCCTTTGCCCCAGTCTTCTCAGTACTTCTGGGACAGAAGAAGTGGCTGCGAGTATCCCTTAGGGCTTCCCAGCTCTTCCATGACCTCCCCTGGGAGCAGTTTGAAAAAAATGGCCCCTGGAGGCAGATCACCTAACTGGCATGTGTTTCTGTCTCTTTGCAGTGTGCAGACAGCTGTGATCAACGTTTTCAAAGGGGGTGGCTTGCAGAGCAATGAGCTATATGCACTGAACGAGAACATCAGGTACTTACTTGGCTGGCCAAAACCAGTGCTGGTATTTCATTGGGAGGCTTCAGGTCCTCCCCACCTCCCACCCCTACCACCTTGCTTTGTACTTGCTGCTAAATTGTTGTTGTGTGTGTCGTATTGAGACCTTTACCATCTAGACTTCTCATTCTGATATGATGCCTATGCTCATGTGTATTATGCACTTTGTGCTGGGGGTGCAGGTTGATAGATGGTGCTAATTCTGTAAACTGTATTAGGCAATACAGAATTCTGAACACTGTATTAGGCAATATGACTAAGTGTTTGGAGCCAGATTATTTGAGAGTTGTATTTGTTAATAAAGACTTAGTAATAAATATGTACTGCCTTGATGGCCAGGTGCTGGAGCAGACATATGTGGTCCTGCTGTCCTTTTTTTTTTTTTTTTTTTTTTTGGTAGCCTACACTGGCCTTGAACCAACTATATAACTGAGCATGGCCTTGAACTCCTGATCCTTCTGTCTCCACCTCCTGGAGTTCTGGGATAAAAGTATGTACTACCATCTGTGGTTTCTAAGATGCTGGGGAGGGAGCCCAGGGCCTCTTGTGTAGCAGGTAAGCATTCTGTCAACTGAGCCACATCCCAACCTCACTGCCCTGGAGTGGACAGTCAGATGGGAAGATGATTATTAGTCAACCAGTCATGAGCTGTGTGATGACCGAGCTGATATGATGAAAGCATGGTAATATGACTTGGTTTTGCCAAGAGTCCAGGGACAATGGAGGTGATGCTTATGCCACGATCAGAGATTCATTAGGGGAGGAGGGTTCCAGTGGGTAGAATCAGCAGGAGCACAGGTCTCTGTGCTTGCAGTGAAAGGAAGCCTAAGTACACAGGGTGCTGGTGGTGGGATGGTGGCATAGTTGGGCTTGCATCTTGGTGAAATGAGAGAGGAAACAGGGCTCAGAGCCCCAGGCTCAGCTAAGGCCAGGGAGTTGAATTAGCTAGCCTTTTAATTCCTCTCTGGGTACCTAAAGGGAGAACATCTAGGCTAAAGACCCAGCCCTGCAGTGGCCCAACAACAAACAAACAAGGCCATTGTTCAAGCCTTGTTTACATTGAATCAAGGTCAGCTGGGTGTTTAAGAGCTCTGTTTTCATTCAAGCCTTTACAGCACATAAGCGAGTGGTTGTGTTACATTTCTACCTCCTATGTACTTGAATTTCTTGTCACAATTACATAAATGTGGAAAGAGACAAAAGAGACCATCTAGCCCAAGGCCTCATTTTACAGGGAAGAAAGTGAGGTCCCAAGAAGGTATGGTGTCAGGGGCAAAGCTGGGTCACCAGCCTCAGACTTGCAAGAAAGAGCCCAGCTTACTCCAAGCCCCGAGTTCCTGCCCCTCCCCACAGGTTCTTTAGTCTCCAGTGGCAATATAAATAAATAATCCAGTGGCGCAGGAATGTGCTAATTGTTTCTCAAGTCAGGACACAGATCCTGACATTGTACTTCAAAGATCTTTGTGGGCAGCTAGGAAGGTGGGAGCTAACCCTGATGTCACCTGCCCCACAGCCCAGAGAAGCAAGCAAGGTGCCAAGGGGCCCTCTGAATGGGGAGACCGGCTGGGAAGCATGCAGAGATGTTCCCAGAAAACCTGAAATTAAAATTTCTTTCTTTATGTAAAAAAATTTTTTTTTCTCATATGAGTGCTCTGTCTGCATGAACACCAGAAGAGGGCACCAGATCTCATTATAGATGGTTGTGAACCCCCATGTGGTTGCTGGGAATTGAATTCAGGACCTGGAAGAGCAGCCAAGGCTCTTAACCTCTCAGCCATCCCTCCAGCCCCATCTTTATGTAAAATTTTTTGGTTTTATTTGTTTTAAACTTATTTCAGGGTCTCACTGTCCTGGAACTCACTACTTAGCCCAAGGTGGCTTCAAACCCACAGAGATCTGCCTGCCTCTGCCTCCTGAGTACTAGAATTAAAGGCAATAGCCACTGCACCCAGCTCTTTTACAATTTTAAGCTTTATTATTTTTTCTGAATTATCTTTGTTTTTTAAAATTGGTATATCTGACTCCCAAAGATTGGTTTTTTGTTTTTTGATTTTTTTGTTTGTTTGTTTTTTCGAGACAGGGTTTCTCTATAGCTTTAGAAGCCTGTCCTGGAACTTGCTTTGTAGACTAGGCTGGCCTCAAATTCACAGAGATCTTCCTTCTCTGCCTTACAAATGCTGGCATTAAAGGAGTGTGCCACCACTGCCCAGCCAAAGGTTGGTTTTAAAAATGCAAATTTCTTCAAGCCTTGGTGAAGACCTAACAAAACACCTCTGGGGTCTGAGTGTGGCGTCACTAGGAAGGGCTGTCACAGTGCATATGCAATGATGTTTCTGTTGTAGAAATGTGTTGGGTCCTAGACACCTTGAGGAACTGCCTGTGTCCCCACACAGCTATCTCTTTGTTATGTAATTTATAGACTAGAAAACCATGAATGAGAGAAACCATGTGACCTGCCCATGGTTGCGAACTCTAAACGTAGATCCGGATTTGAACTCCTGCCTGAACACCTGCAATCTGAAAATCCACACTAGTCTGCTTGGGTTGCTGTAACAAGTGCCACAGACAGAGTGGCTTAATCAACAGAAATCTATTTATGTTCTGGAGTCCAGAAGCCCAACATCAAGGTGCTGGCCAGCTCAGGTTCTGCTGATAGCTAACATGTGATCACCACCTCACCATGAGCTCACATGACCTCTTCTTTGTATGTTCAAAGGTGGAAAGCGAGCTTTCTGCCTTGAGGATTGTACCCTTAAAACCCATCTATAACTAAGCATCTCCCAAAGGCCCTACCACATATGTGGAGGGTCAGGGGTTAGACATAGGAAGTAGGGGGCGGTGTGCGCAGTTCAGCACACAGTGAAACCTGACTCTGCACCACACTGTGGTGTCTGGGAGAAGTCTCTTACTGGGAAGATGGTTGAACTGATGTCCATGGCCTTTTTTCTGCTTTAGTTTCTTTCACAGGGTCTTGATGAACCCATCACTTACTATGTGATAATTCTACCCCTCGCCCCACCCCGAGAAACAGTGAACCTTCAGATATTCTTTCCAGTTTAGGGCTCTGTCTTCAGCCTGGTGGGAACTACAGTGGTTGGTGTTTGGAACAATAGCCCAGGTGTGATTTGGGCGTAGAGTAAGCTGTAGCTTTTAGAGCACAGTACTTGGCCTCATTTGCCTCTAGGAGTTCTGCCCTTTGGTTTCTTTAAACCAGTGGCTGGAGTAGAAACAGGCATCCCTAACACAGAGGCCCAGGGTAGACCTGGGAATATGAAGCACATCCCAGGCAGATATGTGACCCGGTTAGTTATTGTTCTCTTGCTATGAACAAATGTGACCAAGGCAATACTTATAAAGGAAAACATCCAATTGGGGGCTTGCTTACAGTTTCAGAGGGTTAGTCCCTGATCTTCATGACAAGAAGCATGGTGCTGTAGCTGTAGCTGAGAGCTTTATATTACTAATATACAAGCAGCAGGCAGAGAGTCACTGGGCCTAACATGGGCTTTTGAAACCTCAAAGCCAACCCCAGTTACACACCTCCAACAAGGCCACACCTCCTAATCTTTCTAAACAGTTACACTAATTGGGCACCAAGCATTGAAACATATGAACTTAATGGAGGGAGTCATTCAAACCACCATACCTAGACACCTCAAATTGCATAAAGCATGCCACCCAATATGTTTCCATATCTGCAAGTATCTGTAGACACAGCTGCTCCATGAAAGTCATCACTGAAGTACCTGCTCTCTCCACATTTCCACAGACATGGGGCTTTGACTTTTCTTTTTCTTCTCCTAAGCCCTGTTTGCAGGTAGATCTCTCCTTTTTTGTTTTGTTTTGTTTTGTTTTGTTTTGTTTTTCAAGACAGGGTTTCTCTGTGTAGCTTTGGAGCCTATCCTGGCACTCGCTCTGGAGACCAGGCTGGCCTCGAACTCACAGAGATCCGCCTGCCTCTGCCTCCCCAGTGCTGGGATTAAAGGTGTGCGCCACCAACGCCCGGCAGATCTATACTTTTAACAGGGTGGAGGGCATAAAGGTAGACAACATAGGACAGTAGGAATGTTGGAAAGAGGATGACTGGTGGTGGTGAGGCTGAGTTGTCCCCAACCTCATTCTTCAATTAATCTTTTTCTTTAAAAAAGATTTAATTTATTATATATACAACATTCTGCTTCCATGTATATCTGCACACCAGAAGAGGGCACCAGATTTCATAACAGATGGTTGTGAGCCACCATGTGGTTGTTGGGAATTGAATTCAGGACCTCTGGAAGAGCAGTCGGTGCTCTTAACCTCTGAGCCATCTCTCCAGCCCTTTTCAGTTTATGTGGTGCATCTGTTCCAGGCTCAATAGAGTGCCTCCCTGAAAAAAAAAAAAAAAAAGCCAGCACAGCTGGATTCATAGCCTGCAGAATCCAGACTAGTTAAGCCCCATGAGCTTGGGGAAGTTGCTTAATTTTTCTGTTTTTCGCTTCAGAAAATGTGGGTGACAGTAGCACCAACCTCGTGGCAATTGTTGGGACTGTGATCCTGCTTAATTGGCCTTAGTACAAAATCTGGTACAGAAGAAATGCTTCATGTATATTAGGCATGCTCTATGCTGCTCTGATGAGTGCTTGAAAACAATGCTGTGTTAAATGCTATGGGGGACCCCACAGGGTAGTGTGACAGAGTTGCCCTAGGGGCAGTACTAGCATGGCATTCCCCCAGGGTTTTGGAGGAAAGTGACCTCACTTTGAACTTCAGAGTTGCATGGACTTCTCAGAGTGTGCTTGGGACTGAAGTTTGGGTGAGGCCGAGTTCTTACAAGGACGGACAGCTATTTCTTCTTTTTGTGGAGACCAACTTAAAGAGGTTCTCCATTCTATTCAGACAAGCAGTGGTAAGCCTTTTGATGATCACCCCAGTCTAGTGTCAAAACTGGTACCCCACCTCTCTCGTGTATGTGCATGCATACATATGTACAAGGT